TGAAATTAACAACAGGTGCACTAGATGGGCAACAATGAGCTGACCCCCAAAACAGGAATGGTTTTACAGGTGGAGGCCACTGACATTTTTTCCCTACACATCTTTTCTGACTGTTCACTAGTTTTGTATTTGGCTAGTGTCAGTGTCACTAATGGTAGCATGAGGCGATACCTGGACCCTACAGAGGTTGTATGAGCAGTCCAACTCCTCCAGAATGGCACATCAATATGTGCCATTGCCAGGTTTCAGTATCATTTTGAGTTGCTGCAACGAAATTTCAGCAAAATGGACTAGTCTGCTGCATCATTTTTTCACTTTGATTTTTAGGGTGTCTTTAAATTCAGTCCTCTGTAGGTTGATAATTTTAATTTCCATCAAACGATGGGGCATCCTTATGTTCCTAACACATTACCCCGTCCATATCAGTATAGATGTACAGCATGAGATTTTTCCCCATTGAGATCTGATGTTTTCAAAGTGTTTCTTTAATTTTTTGAGCAGTGTATATGGTTTCATAGCATGAACAGGGTCACATCACTTTTCAGTGCAGTTCTGTAGACTCCAATGTGGCCGCCCCACCTCCTGCTTGACTTCTGTACTAGTAGTGAACAGCAGCATACTAGTGATATGAATCTATTTCTTTCCTTCCCCTGTTATCTTAGTAGCAAGCACTGTAAGCTTGACTTAGATGACTTGTGGCCAGACTGAATTCCTTGTTTTAAGCAATACATAAAAGTTTTTTTTCCTGTTTTCAAAATGCATTCAGCAAATTGCAGCATAATTAACCACCTGCTGATCCAGGCAATTTTTTAAATTGTTCACACACACCATTTTAAAATTAGCATTTTTTCCCTAGAAAATTACTTACATCCCCCAATCGTTATATATTTTCTGAATGCAGAGGCCCTGGAGAAAAAAACGGTGGCTGTAGCAATTGTTTATGTCACAAGATATTTGCACAGTCGGTTATCAAACGCAAATTTTCAGGAAAAATACATTAAAATGAATCTTAGAGAAAACAAACACAATATAATACCCAGTTTTGGAGTAAAACATAAAAGTTGATGTTGCATCAACTAAATAGGCACCAAACACGTTAAGTCTCAAAACTTTTTTCTAGGGAGCCTTCAAATTGTACCTACAATTAACAGATCACGGGTACAATGTCCAGCAGCTCCTGTATGGGCCTCCCGTATGGGCAGTTAGTTACCTGAGAGCAGGAAGATCAATAAACTATGAGTGCTCATCAGCATCCTCTTAGTTCACTGAGAACTACAAGTCATCAGCTGCAATGGCTGATGGTAGTTGTAGTTCATTCATCCACAGAACGGCCACGCAGCAGCGTTGTTTTCAAATTGCGACAGCGGGTGTGGGGAGAAGATCCCCTGCCTGTTAAAAAAGGAAGTAGGGTGATCTGGAGAAGAGAGGGTGGATGCTAAATATGTTACCCTAAATACGGGTGCAGGGGCGGACTGACCATTTGGAACCTCCGACACTGCCTGAGGGCCCGGGGCCAGTAGGGGGCCCCATGAGATGCCCCTGGTACCTTTTTCATAGGCTTTTTTGAGTTTGGGCAAGGACACACGGGCCCCATGATCCCCTATTGCCCGGGGGCCCCATGAGTTGTCAGTCCGCCCCTGTACGGGTGTAACATGTAACATGTTTAGAAAGGTGAACTTAGCCTTTAATATCAATCATGGAAACAAAAAATGGATTAAGCCTAGAACTCTGCCTACTTGTTGGTAGGTGCAGCGTGGTACAGTGGCAGTGATTACAAAGAGTCTGGTTGCAGATAACAAAAACTTGTATGAAAGGACAGTCCAACTTTACAGAGAGCGAAACACTCACAGTTCTGTGCACCTTGAGAATGCAACCGGTTCCAATGCACCAACAGTGTCCATCTCAGAAGGCGGAATGCGGCCTGGTCGGTACGATTCCATTGGGGAGGATTCCGATCCAGGATGGTGTATCCCTGGCCTGTCCCTACTTGTTCGGAACCTCTCCCTGCCGCTAATCACTTTTCTTGACAGACGGGTGCTCTTTCCCTACGCTATCCACTTTGCCAAATATGCCCCAAAACCTGGGGGCAGGGGCCCGTAAAAGGATCTGTTGACCCAACTTGGTCGCCAGAAGTCACCTGGATGCAGCATAGCAAGCCATAACACTGCCCTAGGGGACCAGAAAACCAAAGAAAAACAGATGTCTCCTGACTTCCTCTCCAGCTGCAGTACCACTCCGGTCAAGCGCCACCTACAGTGGAGAAAGCAGACTGCACCTGCCTACATACTTGCTGTAATAAACAAAATATTAATGTGCAATATTTAGTCTTGAAAATAATTCATAAACGAGGGTTGTACCAAAAGCTAGTATACCTTTTTTTATTAACTTACCATGAGTTGTTCAAATTTCACGTGTTGGTAGAGTAACTCTTTCTCTATAGTAACTTTTCTTCTTTTTCATTGCAGGTAAATAATGGATTCCAAGAAGGAGCAATGTGCCATCATTGAGTTCTTGACGAAAGAGGGGAACAGGCTGTCCAAATATCCACAGAATGACACTAATCCTACCAGGCCAATTATGACATTTCTGTTATGGATGTAAAAATCATAATGCTAGAAAATTACTTAGAACCCCACACATTATATATATATATATATATATATATATATATATATATATAGTGATACCTCAGTTCAGAAACTTAATTTGTTCCACGACTCTGGTCGTGAACCGAATTGGTTGCGAGCCAAGGCAAATTATCCCATAGGGCTCACCAAGAAGCTTCTCAGTACTGTAAGTGTCTTCACAGTACACTTTCAGTGTCTGTCTGTGACCGCGATCTCGCCTACACAAAGTCATCCTGTATATCTCTTCTAACTTGGAAAGCATAAGATCAATAAAAAACAATATATTAATCTCTGCTTTCCAGAAAAAAAAAATGGCAATGTTTACATCTGCTAGAGCCGGAAGTGAAATCATGACGTCACTTCCAGCCTCCCAAGATCATAGAGATGGCTGGGGACCATCTGGTCCATGGCCAGCTCTGTGGTAAGCTACTCATATCCCAGGCTCCCCGATTGCATGGGAGAGCCTGGAGAGGCAAGGATAGGGGGAGTCCTCTCCTGCCACCTGTAAAAGCAATCCAGTGGCTCATTGGCTGCTAGGAGGGCTTTTACAATAAAGGGAATTACTGGTTAAAAAGAAATATACCGGGATGATGCCTTTATCTGTATACCGGCTGGAAGTTAAGAATGTGCATAAATGTCCACCCTTTGGGAAGTGGTTCTTCATTCATTTGTGCACATTTCTCTTGTCAACGGTGTCATCTCTGTAAGCATTCTGTAGCAAACAGCCTGCACACTTCCTTCATTAAAACTCAGTGATGGTACCTTGCTTCTGCTTTGAATCCATTATGTACCTGCGGTGAAAAAGAGTTACTACAGAGCAAGAGTTACTCTACCAGCATGTGAAATTTGAGCAGCCTATGTAAGGTAATAAAAAAGTTATGCACCCTTTTACATTGCTTTTGGTACAGCCCTCGTATGTTAACAAACACTTAGGGGTTGATTTACTAAAACTGTAGGGTGCAAAATCTGGTGCAGTTGTGCATAGAAACCAAACAGCTTCCATTTTTTATGTTTGTCAAAGCTTAATTGAACAAGATGAAGTTCTGCAGTTGGGATTGACAGCTGTGTGCAGATGAGTGCATTATAAGCCATGACACAAACCTCACCCAACTTTGTGTTCTTGTCCCAGTCAGGAAATCCTACACCAGTTCTATTACATCAAGACTTTTCTAAGAAAAAAAATGTGTCTGTTTTAAATTTATTTTTTATTCTGAAGTGTTTTACATATAACACTGAGTTAGTCACACACCGCTCCTGGGTCTAGCAGAACTTACAATGATGTGTCTTGGGAGGTATCTCACATGAACATGGGGTGAACAGACAGATTCCAGTCAAATGATGTCCCTAGTCTGAATTAAAGTCAGGATTACAGCAGGTGCTATTGCTGTAGAACCTTTAACCTCCCTAGCAGTATGATTATGTCCATATTTCTGTGCTGAAAGCGGTACATGGAAATATGTATTTTTTTTATTGTAGGCCTGTAATTTTTAGGAATAACTCACTGAAATCTGTCCGAACAAGAGTCTAGTAAACATCCCGGGTAGGATAAAACTTGAAACACAAAATCATAAATTATAATTTAATAAATAATCATAAAAATAATAATATAATAATAATACATTTAATTCAATAATATAATCAAACCAAAAACATTGAAATTTGAAATATAGCGCCAAGTTCGCACATCGCTGAGCAAAATCGCAAAATCGTTTTCAGTGTCTGATGATGAATTTCCCCACGAATCATTATCACTCAATTCTGCAAGTGGTTCTGATTTACTATCGCTGTTCTCTAGTCGGTCTAAAACCGTTTTTGACCAAAAGGGACGCTTTTTGGACGCCATGAACTTTTCTAAGTTTCCAGGCAGAAAGAACAGTCAAAATGCAGGCAGGGCGCCGGACAAAGCAGTAGGGACAAAATGTATGTGAAATGGTTTGATACAGTAATGTTTTACTATGTCAAATTTATTTCTAAGAAAATGACAGTTTCTAAAAATGTTTAAATTTGCCGCCGTTCCGGCCCCCGTACGTCCCGACGCTCGCAGGGACAGGAACACGGAAGCCAGATGCCGGCATCGGCTGGAGGAGATGGCCGGGGACGCAGCAGGGGACACATCACGGGAGCAAAGGACAAGGTAAGCACTGCAGGGAATCCCTGAGCAACGCCGCATGGTAAGCCCGAGTGTAGCTCGGGGTTACCGCTTTTGGTACTGAAACTTTACCCCGAGCTACACTCGGGAATACCGCCATGGAGGTTAAGCGAATACAATGAATGTCCACAAGTTTTTGAATTATTATTTACAAACTGTAAAGTGAGAGCTGCACTTTAAACATGAACAAGATATCCAATAACACCAGAGTATACAATGGTTCCTCAGCGAGGCACAGCCAACATCTCATAGTCACGAGGTCTAGAAGCATTGCTGTTGGGCTCTGGTGTAATGTCTATGTCCCTTCTGTCCACGGTGAGTTTCAGAGTAAACTTTTGCAGAATGGTTGTAAAAAAGAGGAAGAGTTCCATTCGAGCCAGACCCTCCCCTAAACACACACGTTTTCCTAGGAAAGAAACACATCAAGAATTACTACTAAAACACGTAAAGCTGTATAGGCTTAGGAATTATTCAAAGGATAACTTTTTATTTTAACTTCAGTATATATTATGTATGCAAATAGCAATGACCTTCATGGCCAGTTTTACTGTTTCCCAGTTTAAAGTCCCAGTACATTTCCAGGACCTCTTGTCCAAAACCTGGTTAGGTGTTACCCATTGACATGTATAGGATGCTAATTCCTGGAGCACAAGTATTTTGCAGCTTGATGGGACGTGAAAATGCAAAGATCGAAATTTGAAACTGGATAGTTAGAGGAATGGAAGCACATAGGTAAGTGTCATTTACATCTCCTTACAATCACTTCTCCTTGCTCCAGTGAGTGGCTCAAATGAGGGTCTCTGGAGTAGAAGAAAAGGCATAATTATGCAAGAAATTGTATTTAGGCTATATCATATTGGTACTGGCTGATATTGGTAAGATCTAGGGTACAGTAAGGATGCAGCACAGAGCACTGTGGTGGCAATAGATACCTAGATGTGTTAAGAGCTCAAAATTAAGTTTTAGTCTATGTAATCCAACTGTGTATTCAGCTTTAGATGCTGAGAGTAGGAGTGCCAACAATGTAAGCTAATCATTCTAATGTGTTTCATAGAGGGCTGGAAAAAGAGGCATTTAGGCAAATGTATAGAAGGGTGACAACACACTCAGAAGCTCAAAAGTGTGCCCCCAGCATGCTTATTTGATTGTTCACAAGAGATGTGAAAGAGGCCTATTTAAAAACTGGAACAATCATCTATGAACAGGGGTGAAGACTCTTAACACCATAGGTCTTTCACATATATTGTCATTTTAACATCATTACCCCAGCAATTTGACAACAATTCATTTCTTTAGGCATGTGACTCAAAATAAGTAACACCCATCCAAACCCTCTATACTAAGGATGGTATTATACAACTACAACAGTGTGGTTCCACAACTTTCACACCTTCCATCCTGAATGATCTGCCTTGATGCATTCCATGGTGATTGGATTGGGTTGTTCTTGCTACTTGTGTGGACATAAATCTTGGGGTATGTTCCTGATACTCAATAGATGACGAAATGACTTGGATAAGCTACCAAACCTCTTTAACAGTACAGAACAAGTCCAGTTAAATGTGACTAGCTACTACCAGCTATAACATGACCTAGATAAAGGAGAATCTTCACCGATATCTTTCTGTCTTGCCGAAGATGGTCATTAAGACAGATTAGTGAGAGGGTATCTCACCAACATTGACATACAGACAGCAATATGAACAGGACAAAGGGTCTATCCTATTAGGAAATGTTTAGCAATGCCTGGTGTCCTAAACAAAGCAGACAGCATGGCTGAAGTTTGAGACCCTTTGAAATGTGGCTACAGTCAATGGTGGGTTTCAGAAGCAAGAGGTAAAGGCGTGGCATAGACAGAAAGAAGAGTATATCTGATAGGAAGGGAGAGACTCAAGGTCACTTTAATCCACAATGGAAAATGTGTTCCTTCCAGTCTGCTAGTTTTCAGCAAGAGAAAAACGTCCATTCTCACTCTTGTTGTTGGGGTGTATATTAATCAAGAATGTATTTTGCCACTGTTAGCTGTGGTGGCCAAGGGAAAGGGAATAAAATGGTCCTTGTGTGTCTCTAATTATTTCATCGTAGATTAACCTCTTTGAATTTAGGGGGTGACAAGGACAGTTTTGTGTGTCAGATATTTTTTTTCCTTGCAGATCTCATGTCACAGCCAGTGATATCCCTTTGTGGACAGAGGTGGCAGGTGGCTGAATGAGTGACATTAGTTTTGTGTTGATTATTATAGTAGACATAATTCCATTCCATTTATCTGTATACAAAGCTAGGTATCAAGTCCTCATTAGAGTCTGTATCACCCTCCTAGTCAGCTAGGGGGAGCTAACAGTCCTAAATGTTAGAGTGGAGGGCTGAGTAGCAGCCTGGGTGTAATAGTTAGGAGGTCAGATTGTAGTCAAGGCAAATAGGCTTTCCAGGCTAGCACCTCTGGAATTTCCCCCTACTCTAGAGCTTTGTAGGAAGGTCTAGAAGCAATGGGTGGATCTAAGTAGTAACTCTCTTGTACTCTTGAAGGATCCTGGCCAATCCGCAACAGAAGGCTTGACAAGGGGCCAGGACAACCCTTAAAAGTAAGTGAGCCTGTTCAGCAGCAGGAGAGTTCGGGTGGAAGACAGAGAGGAAGATGTGAGGTTGAAGGCAGAAGCCAGGAAAAGTCAATATGTTAATTACTTGGGCAAACCTCATTGGCCTAGGAGTGGGTGGGGATTAGGGGAAAGAAGTCACCATTCTGATAGTAAGAGCAAACCCCTCATGGAATACGCGTCAAATGACCCAGACCCCGTGTACCATAGGTCCCGGGTGCTTATTTGGACTTCTGGAGACCTAATCTGGACAACTAAAAGTGTAAGATTACTAAAGAAGTTATCCAGGCATTAAGGGGTTAGTAGAAACTGTGACCAGGAGGATGAATTGGTGGGGCCACAGGCTTGTATCTATGCAGTTGAACATGGTGTGAGCTTGGACACTGGAACCAGTGCTCTGTCTGTAGGTAAGGGTTCAACTGTACATGCTGTCCACAAATATAGAAAATAAGCAACCTGCTTACACAAGGCAGAGGAATTAAAACTGGGGAGGAAAGGTCTAGACGATGCTAAATGCCTTTCAGCCAGGAAATGAGACAGACTTTATCTGAAGCTCATAGTGTGCAGTGATATCAGAGTAAAATATTTCAGTACAGGAGAGGACCCTTTACAACTTTTCAAGACTGAAGGTAAGGCTGGAGTTCAGCTGTAAGAACCCACTGTATATCTAAAAATGATTAGCTTAATTAACTAGCTACAACATGATACCTTCTGAAAATGGCATGAAGGCATCACTTTTCTTAAAGGTTCCATCTTCATTAAGGAAATGTCCAGGGTCAAATTTATGAGGGTTTTTGAATTGTTTGGGGTCCTTTAAGACTGTTGTTAAGACTGGAAACACCAAAGTTCCCTAAAATGTAGAAAAAAAAATGGTTAACTAGAAACAGATGCAGGCAAATAGTGAAGGACATATTAAAAAGAAGGAGGCATCATAAGGTTCAGAAGACACTTAGAAGAAATGCAGATTGTACTGTAGTTTAGTAGTTTAGTATATAACCTTAAACTAGCTTGACACTTAAACCTTTAATTCCTTATATTATTCTGTGGCTACAGTAATACATGTGTAACACCCTCCTAGTTAGCTAGGGAGAGCTAGGGTGCAATTGATAGAGAAAGGGGCTGAGTAGCATCCTGGGTGTAATAGTCAGAGGGCCAAATTGGGGTCAAGAGGTGAGAGGTTCTGCAGGTCAGCCCCTCTGGAGTTTTCCCCTGCTCTAGAGCTTTGGAGGAAGACCTAGAGGCAGTGGGTGGATCTCAGAAGTGGCTGGCTTGCAATCTTGAGGAATCCTAGTAATTCCCCAACAGGGGATGTCCCAAGGGGCTCAGACGCCCTTAAAAGTGTTGGAGCCTGTCAATTGGAGGAGAGTTAAGGTGGAAGATAATGAGGAAGATGTGAGGCTGAAGTCAGGAGGCTGTGAGGAGGCCCAGTGGGATGGGGCCTAACTGCAGGCCTGGAGCTTGAAAGTAGGAAAGCTCAGAGCTCATTGGCCCCCAGAGTGAGCACCACTGATATGGCAGGGAAGCAGCAGTCCAGCAGATAGGCCTGGCAGCAGCCACCAACCCACCAGCAGTACAGGAGAAGATCTGAGTGAGTACACCTGAACCTCCTGGGCGGATAGGTGAAGGAGCACTCTGGTGGAAAACCAGATTAGCCACCTACCAGTGACTGTTCATCTCCTAAAGTGACAAGAACCGGATCCTTTGTTCAGGGGTACCTCCAGATTGCTGGGTGAAGAGGAGAAGTTCATCTAGGGTCTGGGGTGGTACATTAAGGAGATGCTGGCTAGCTCTCCAACAGAGACTGTGTTGCAGAGAAGACTTGTAAATAGTTCCAGAAAGTTGTCCTCAGTTTATCAGTACCCTTGGGCATCCTTTACTCCCCTAACCCTATCCCAGTTCAAATCTCCTAAATAAAACAACGAAAACAAAGCTCAAGGACTGATATCTGACTCTGGATGCAAGTCAATGTGAAGATGTGTGATGCCTGGCTGTGCTGGACTATAGGGGGACCCGAATTTGTAGCAACTTTTCAGGGGGTGGTGCTGCACATGATTACAGTAGGTATGGTTCAGTCTAAAACTACCTCGCTGCTTCTTTTCAGAGGCTGCCATGAGCTTCATTGTGCATGTCTGGTATCAGCAGGGGTGTAACCAGGGGCGGACTGACCATTTGGAAACCTAGGCGCTGCCCGATGGCCCGGGGTCAGTAGGGGGCCCCATGAGATGCCCCTGGTACCTTTTTCATAGGCTTTTTTTAGTTTGGGCAAGGACATAGGGGCCCCATGATCCCCTATTGCCCGGGGGCCCCATGAGTTGTCAGTCCGCCCCTGGGTGTAACTATAATTCAAACGGCTCAATGGCAATATTTTTGATGGGGTTCCCCAGTCCCCAAATCCTATTGAAATCAATGAGAGCCAGATCTGTCAAATTAAAAAATTCCTGGGCTAATAGGCAAGGGAGTGTCAGATAAATAGCATGGTGGAGAGGAGAGTGGTTACTGCCTTTGTAGAAGGTGTGCCAATGCAAAAAAAAAAATATTCGGCCAGGAGCAGTGATTTATTTAAATACTTAATCTGAAACATTAAAAATGTCCCATACCTTATAAATAGTATGCCTAGTGATATCCAAATCCTGCCAGTGAAGGCAGTGCCGGTTTTATAAGGGGGCAAAATAGGCAAATGCCCTGGATCCCCTGACCAAAGGGGCCCCCTCTATACAAAAAATACAAAATTCATAAAAATTGATTGAAATGAAAGAATATTAAAAAATTATATAAAACATAATTTAAAAAAGAATCAAATAGTATAAAATGTATAATTAAAAAAATACTCTCTTTTATTAAATATATCTTGGGAAGTAATATTTTGCCAACCATCATCTGTAAAATGTTTTACTCTGAACTGGTATTGTTTCTAAAAATGAATTTTGGTGGCTCAAGTGAACCACCAAAAGCACTATGATTGCGTGTGTGTGTGTGCAAGCGTGACCTCAGAATGATGTTGTGTAATGCATTTTAAAAATTTGTGACTGTCATTGAGAATGTAAACCAACTCCATGTATGAGGGGCTCCCCGTATCTAAAGTACCCCGGGCTCCGCAAGGTCTAAATCTGACCTTATGTGAAAAAATGTGATAGCAAATTACATTCTTTGGCAGCTTCTTTTTATAGATAGATAGATAAAACACAGAGACATCTCAGACCATCTTGGAAATCTGATAAGAGCACCTTTGGAATGTGATATCCTCTAAAGTTGATGTCCTTGCTGGCTGCATGGAGTAGTCCGGCTGGTGCAATGTCAGCAAATCTCTGGATCTCATGAATAACAGCATCAGTATATGGCATCTTACTTCTGTCCTCCACTGATGGACAGCGATCACTTCCTACTACATTGTCAATCTCTTTATGGATCCTCTCTGGAGCACACAGAGAAGAAAGCATAAAAAACATTAAGGTGTTGTTACATCTGTGGAGGGAATTTATAGAAACGCGACACAGAAATGGAAAATGTAGCAGCTATCCAATTGATATCTATATCAATTTTACACATAACTATTACATTTTTTGAAGATTATGACAAGAAAACTTCTAAAGTGTCAGATTCACACACTTTAATAGTTACCGGTATACATACAATGGGTAACACAGGAAATGTACATACACCTGGCACTTTATGTTTTTGAAAATGTATATTTTTTCAATGGTTGGACATTGGAGATGGCATGTTTATTGATAAGCACTAAATAGTGCTGCCCCTTGTTGTCACATTTGTATTTATTCATTTATGTGAGATCAATGATTTATAAATTGAAAATAAATTATCTGTGTTTTGCCACTGGTGTCACTGGTTGTAGATTTTCAAGCAGGTTTATGCATTTCTATAGACTTGTGTAAGAATTCAAAATCAATTTAAAGTGAACAAAAGCCAGTCGACACAGACCCTTACTCAGCTGACAGGTTATGCTCCCTGTATGCATCTCAAGGTTTATTTTACTATTTAGAAAGGAGATACCTTTAAAGTTGTTTTAAGCCTCTGCAATGTAAAATGAACAAAGTATATTGTTGTTATTATTATTATTATACAGGATTTATATAGCGCCAACAGTTTGCTCAGCGCTTTACAATATAAAGGGAGACAATACAGCAACAATACAGGTCAATACAAGAGGGATGAAGGGGCCCTGCTCCTTGGAGCTTCCGATCATATCCTTCTATAGTGTGTGCTTACCTCTATCCACAGCACCCAGTGTGATTTCTGTCTCCTCTCTCATTCCTCTGCCATCTGCATGAGTCACTTCTGACAGTCTATGCCAATACCAGACAATGCTGGGGAAACTGCCCCACCCCACTCCAGCACACAGCAGGTGATTGACATTCTCCTCTGTCTATATTTACCTATGAGACTATGGAGGGGGTGTGTCCTTTCCCTCCACTCAATGCTCAGATTACACTCAGTTTTCTGCTCTATGCTGTGCAGCGTGTGACACCAGATCCCCACCCCCTGTCTTTTGAAGCTGAGAAATGCTGTGTAAATTTTGGAATTTGAATGGCTGTGGAGAAGAGAGCTGCAGAAAATCAGGTACAACTTATGTAGGATGATTTGTTTCACCTCTGTGTATCAATCGAGGCCAGTCACTTCAGTTGGTATATGTAAGGGTTTAAAAACTACTTTAAAATGATCTCAGCATGGCAGTCATCCTTATTGTTCTTGTAGGAAGAGATGGTGTTACCTTGTATCTCAGGGTATTTCAATAGTATCAGGAAGCCATATCGCAGTGTTACACTTGTAGTCTCAGTCCCGGCAAAGAACAGGTCTTTTATTGTTGCTAACAAGTTTTCATTATGGAATTCTGTTTTTGGGTTGTTCTTTTCCTGAAAAATATTGTCAGCATCATTTCAACAATCAAATTGGAGATAAGGCTCTCACAACCCACACAAATTCAGTAAAAGCCTATTTTCCCTATCCAGTCCTCACTAATAATAAATCAGTCTCTCATCCTGGTTCATAACTTTGTTTTGTTTTTCTATTGAGTATTGGTGGCGTATCAGAGTTGACATCCGTCCTCATTCAGGCCCTCATCATGTCCCAAGAATTTGGACAGCCACCAATTGGTGGAGTCAATGGACTAATAGTAAACTACAACTCATAAATATTAATAATCAATCAATGTGCTGGCCAGGAGTACCGTTTAGTCCTCATACACACTGGACATTTTTATAGCTGCTGTTTTGGGCTTTTGGCATTTTTTTTCTACAGCCAATAAACTCCCTAGTATGTTATCCTATGTGCTCATGCAGCGTTTTTGGCAGGGACATTTTTTGGCTGGAAAAAAATCCCAGAACTAGTGTGTTTTTAGATGAATTTTTTTTTTTAGCTGTAAAAGTGCTTTAATGTTGATAAACTTGGAAAAGCGCGGTAGACCAGCGTTTTTGGGCTTTTTTGAGTAAAATTTTTTATCTTTTTCTGTAAAAAAATGCTAAAAATCGCAAACATGGAAAAACATGGAAAACGCAGCTAAACGCTGATGCAAAAACACAAAAAAGAGGAAAAACTTTTTAACATTTTTAACCACTTCAAGTTCCAGATCCGGATACTTTTACCCTTTAAATGACAATTGCGCGGTCATGCAACACTGTACCCATATGAATTTTTTAGCATTTTTTTGAGACAGATAAAGCTTTATTTTGGTGGTATTTATCCACCACTGGGATTTTTATTTTTTTTGCTATGTAAATGAAAATGTCCAAACATTTTGAAAAAAAGTGTTTTTCTTATAACATTTTGCAAATAAATAATATTTCATCATAAATCTTGGCCAAAATTTATTCTGTTATCTTTTTAGTAAAAAAAAATAACCCAAATTAGCTTATAACCAAAAATTATCATCTTTAAACAGTTTTTTTTACATTTTTATTTAATTTTTTTATATTATTTTTTATGTTTTGTTTTTGTTTTTTTTACATACTGTCACCCTAGCAGTACAGTGTCACCATGGTGACACTGTACTTTTTGTGGGGGGTGATGAAGTTTTTTTTTTTTTACACTGATTGCTTTTACACCCATAAGGGCTGTAAAAGCAATACTTTTCCCTTCTTTCTGGCTGTATTCTTGCAGCCATTGAGAGCTACTGTGTGAGCTGAGATTGGTCACAGCTTGTCACATGGTACAAGGCTGTTGTGAATAGACTTGTACCATGTGACCTCTGTGATCATTCACAGATTTCACACATAGTAAGCAATGATGTCAGAAGTGATATCTTGCTTACTACTCTGCATGTGATCACTGATTGGTCAATCAGTGATCACATGATCGGGACTTCGCACAGAGGTCCCGTACGACGATCGGTGTTCCACTGTGTACGGAGGACACAGCGGGCACCGGATCGCGGTGATGCGCGTTCCAAGGGAGCGCGCACAAGCAGGGGGCGAGAAGGCCGTTTATAAATGGCCATCCGACTCTGCACTGCCACCGTCCCGGCCGTTTATATACAACGGCCGGACGGGAGGTGGTTAATGTAACTTTATACAGCTAATGCTACTGGTGTTTTTAAAACGCCCAGTGTGCATGAGGACTTACAGTCACAAACTACCCTAGAATGTACAACAAGGGCAGAGTATATATTTATGTTACAATATGGTATAATCTGGGCAACTTTGCATTGCTTACAAACCTTGCCGTGAAAGTTGAAATAGCAATTTAAAGCATTCATTGATTAGAAAATAGAACAGACTCTAGACCAAGAACTGAAAAAAACTCACCTCTACCATTTTTATGAGGAAACAATCTATGAAGTCACCGGGGAAGTTTTAATCCAATGTCTCCTTGTGAGCATTCACCATATCTATGAAGAACTCTTTAAGCTTTTTAAAATCCATGAAAAGTGTCTGATGAGGGCCAGGGACATGTTTCATTAGGTTTGGGAAAATATTAAGCAGCTGAAAAAAAAAATTTTGTTGAGTTGTTAATGAGCAATATACAGTACATATCAATTACATATATTGGATGAAGCGCTCTGCTATAATAATGCTAAAAAAACAACAAAATTTTATACACAAATGTAAAAGTGACTAATACTTAAATAATATATGTGCTAAAATTATATAAAAAAATTTCATATAAGACCAGTCTGCCCCCAAATGGCTAAAACTGGTTATACATGTGCACACAAAGCAAAAATAGAAAGTGACCAGGTGCTTGGGTACATAAATAGTGTCTTAATAAATACAAAAGATTTTAAAATCACAGTGAATACTCATAAAAAGTGCCAAGTGTTTAAATAACAATAAATATACATATAATATAATCATGTGCAAAAAACATGCTATCACTCTTCTGTGAAGAAAATATATATATATAGAAGTGCTTTTTCATTCAAATAGTGCTCAGACCAAAGTGTCACTCCAGTGAATCAATCCTAAATATCCAGAGTGCCTCCTCACCTCCAACATTCGACCCCTAGAGGTCACAAATCATTTATTTAAATGATGTTCCAAAAACCGACATCAGGATATAACTTGCCCCACGATTCAAAATCTCAATATATACGATGCCTCAGCCATATGTCCATGGACCATGGAAGATTTAAGCACAAAGAGAGATCTCCATAGCGCAATATGTAGTTTTATTATAAAGAAAAAAGCAGATAGAAAACTCACATGTTCTTAGAAGTGTACAAGCAGTTTCCCCATATCCTATGGGTGTAATAGGAAATCGTGTTTGCCGAAAACCGGAAATACGTCACCGGAAGTGCATCACCGAGCTCCACCCGGAAATGACGTCAATGAGCTCCACGCGTTACACCACTGTCACGTGGCTTCTTCAGGATAGCTCATTGGTCTACAAGGCTTCCTATTTATATGACTGCTAAGGGGGAGTGACTTACTCCTCCATTTTCCCGGAGCCAGTTTCAGATACATGCAGTGTTAATAATACCAAATGTGGTCACTTACACATGTATACCAATCCCTAAAAAATACCAGGAATAAATATATTCTAAAAGAATACATATATACCACCTTCCCCCCAATATATTCACTAACATAAATACTCCATAGAAAATTATTATTTAATAAACATTTTAATGATTAAAAAAAAATGATTAAAAAAATATATATAATTTATTATTTACTCAAAAATATATATCCACATATAACCAACCACTAATTACCCAAAACACTTTTGTTTTCTAAAATATTAATTTAGATCTATTGCAAAAATATTTTGTATACATAAATATATATATATATATATATATATATACACACCTATATATACACACTAGATAATCCTATTTCACCCATAGCACAGGTTTACAAAAACCATAAACACTGAATCCTAATCACATTTTAAAATTTAATAAATATATAAAAATATAAAAAATATATAAATGTTATATAAAATCCCTAAATAACCAAGTAGAATAAAATAATAATATTAAAAATCACTAATAAAACAATTAAGATCAAACTCAACATTTAATCCACTAGGGGTCAGCGTATGCATATAAAAAATCCACTTTGGATCTGCCTGACTAATGGTTCTAACCTTATGACTCCCTCTCCAATGTTTCTTAAAACGTTCTATTCCCCAAAATTTTAAACACGAGGGGTCTTTATTGTGGTGACTGGCAAAATGTTTAGAAACATTATGTTTGGGGTTACCTTTTTTAATGTTATTAACATGCTCTTGTAGTCTTACCCATAGGGGTCTCTTTGTACGCCCCACATACTGCAGACCACAACTGCATTCCAAAACATACACAACTCCTTCTGTTTTACAAGTGATGAAATCTAATATATCAAATGTCTTTCCATTACTAGTAGACTCAAAGGAATATTTCTTGAGATTTTGTCCTCTAGTGATTTTACAAACTGCGCATTTTCTACAGGGATAAAAACCTTTAAGATCAAAGAGAACGCCTTTCTTATTAAAATTAGGCGGATCTAACACATTTTTCACAATTTTATTTCTCAGAGTTGGAGCTCTTCTGTATCCATGTAATCCATGTATTAGTAATAATAACCAAGTAGAAGTTTTTAAGAAAATGATCAATAAGGATATAGAGAGGTTACAGATTTCACACAAGAAGCTAAACAGAGGAATGCAAATAGGGGTTAATAAACTGAGTAAAAGAAATGATATAGTAGTAAGACCCGCAGATAAAGGAGGGGGCATTGTTATCCTTTCCAAAGACTATTATAATAATGAATTACAAACTCAACTAGATGATATATGTACATATGAGAAATTAAAGAAAGATCCTACAAGAATATATAAAAAAGAACTGGAACACGTTATCAAAATAGGAGTTGATAATAAAATATTGAACACTAAGGAGGGGAGATACTTGGTTCCAGAAATGTGTCGTATACATATTATATACACTATCCCAAAAATACATAAAGATCCAGTGAATCCCCCTGGAAGACCCATTGTAAATGGGATTCAATCATTAATGGCGAGATTAGGACAATATGTAGATATTTTTTTTACAACCACTAGTCCAACAACAAACGGTGTCCTATCTGCGAGACACCAAACATTTGATTCAATTATTAGAGGATATTAAAGGAGGTGATAATATTATTCTGGCTAGTGCAGACGTGTCATCTTTGTATACCATTATCAATCATGGAGATGCAATAGAAGCCACTAGTTGGGGTCTACGGGAGTTTAGTGATCTTAAATGGGCTCAAAGGAAATATATATTAAAGTGTCTTGAATTTTGTTTAGATCACAATTATTTCTGGTACAATAACACATTTTATAAACAAATCAAGGGAGTTGCCATGGGAGCCCGTTTTGCTCCCAGTGTAGCCAATCTATTTATGGCTCACTGGGAGCAAGAAGCTGTATATTTGGAGAAACCATTGGAACTTGTTTTATATAAGAGATTCATAGATGATGTGATTATTGTGTGGAAAGGGGAAGAAAGTAAATTAATTGAATTTTTAAATAAATTAAATTTGAATGGTAGAAATATTATAAGTTTGTGTGGGACTTTAGCCCACTGTCTATCCAATTCTTGGATCTAAATATTGAGATTATAGGAACCAATATTGTTACCAAAACACATTTTAAAAATGTGGATAGAAACGGATATATTCCCATGGACAGCTGTCACTTTCCACCATGGCTGTGTAATATCCCTAAGGGTCAATATGTTCGGATTAGGAGGAATTGTACCACTTTAAAAGATTATGATACTCAGGCAAAAATGTTGGAAGGGAGATTTTTATGTAAAGGCTATTCTGGAATGGATTTAGAAATAAAGAGAGAAGAAGTGGCTCATTTGAGCAGGGAAACACTTCTTAGGAATGAGAATAAAAAGAAAAATTTAGTGAAAGATGGGGTCGATCAATTAGCTGTCATTATGGATTTCAATATACAATATAAGGAAATACAAAATATATATAAAAAATATTGGCCGATTTTGCAAATGGATCCGATCTTGGGGGGTATATTACCCGATCAACCCAAGTTCATATACAGAAGAGCTCCAACTCTGAGAAATAAAATTGTGAAAAATGTGTTAGATCCGCCTAATTTTAATAAGAAAGGCGTTCTCTTTGATCTTAAAGGTTTTTATCCCTGTAGAAAATGCGCAGTTTGTAAAATCACTAGAGGACAAAATCTCAAGAAATATTCCTTTGAGTCTACTAGTAATGGAAAGACATTTGATATATTAGATTTCATCACTTGTAAAACAGAAGGAGTTGTGTATGTTTTGGAATGCAGTTGTGGTCTGCAGTATGTGGGGCGTACAAAGAGACCCCTATGGGTAAGACTACAAGAGCATGTTAATAACATTAAAAAAGGTAACCCCAAACATAATGTTTCTAAACATTTTGCCAGTCACCACAATAAAGACCCCTCGTGTTTAAAATTTTGGGGAATAGAACGTTTTAAGAAACATTGGAGAGGGAGTCATAAGGTTAGAACCATTAGTCAGGCAGATCCAAAGTGGATTTTTTATATGCATACGCTGACCCCTAGTGGATTAAATGTTGAGTTTGATCTTAATTGTTTTATTAGTGATTTTTAATATTATTATTTTATTCTACTTGGTTATTTAGGGATTTTATATAACATTTATATATTTTTATATTTTTATATATTTATTAAATTTTAAAATGTGATTAGGATTCAGTGTTTATGGTTTTTGTAAACCTGTGCTATGGGTGAAATAGGATTATCTAGTGTGTATATATAGGTGTGTATATATATATATATATATATATATATATATTTATGTATACAAAATATTTTTGCAATAGATCTAAATTAATATTTTAGAAAACAAAAGTGTTTTGGGTAATTAGTGGTTGGTTATATGTGGATATATATTTTTGAGTAAATAATAAATTATATATATTTTTTTAATCATTTTTTTAATCATTAAAATGTTTATTAAATAATAATTTTCTATGGAGTATTTATGTTAGTGAATATATTGGGGGGAAGGTGGTATATATGTATTCTTTTAGAATATATTTATTCCTGGTATTTTTTAGGGATTGGTATACATGTGTAAGTGACCACATTTGGTATTATTAACACTGCATGTATCTGAAACTGGCTCCGGGAAAATGGAGGAGTAAGTCACTCCCCCTTAGCAGTCATATAAATAGGAAACCTTGTAGACCAATGAGCTATCCTGAAGAAGCCACGTGACAGTGGTGTAACGCGTGGAGCTCATTGACGTCATTTCCGGGTGGAGCTCGGTGATGCACTTCCGGTGACGTATTTCCGGTTTTCGGCAAACACG